TGATATTTTCTTTTTTTTATTTCGTAAGACTCATAAGCATATTAAACACTTAGTTTCTAAAGCAGTTTGCACGATTATTAAAAATGTCAATGTCCCAAAAGTGATCATTATAATTTTACATTAAACGATACAATGGCGATTTTTTGCCAGCATTGGTTCTACATAAGGGAAGGGCAAATGTTTGACGTGAGCATGTTGATTTTACATATAACTTAGTAGGTACACGATATTGCAATTTTTTGTTACAGGCAAAGACATTTAAGTAGTAGTAGTAATAGGGGGTCATTGTAGAAGCGTGCTCGTCGCGACCCCTGCCAGCCCTTTTCAGGGCTGCAATTCTACTCAGCTGCGCACCCATGTCAACGAGGGTTAGGGCGTCCCCCCAAGGCGACGCACACCAGCTCGTCCCCGTTGGTGTGGAATGCAGCGCGCAAAGCGGCGATGGGGACCGCCACCCGTCACGCACAGCCCGACACGGCGGAAGGTGGAGGACGGAGTGCAGAGTTGGCACGTGGAATGTTAGAGGAGGCATGAGAGATAAGACGAATGAGTTGATCGAAATAATGAAAGAAAGAGAATTAGATGTCGTGTGTATGTCGGAAACCAAACGGAAGGGCAGTGGTACTGAAGAGCTCCCTGGCGGGGCGTTAGCTCTATGGTCCGGAGTCCCGGAGAGCGAGAACGCCTGCCAGGGAGTGGGGGTGCTGCTGTCTTCTCGGTTGGTCGATGTTATGACTGAATATAAGTTTGTGAACTCAAGACTTCTCTGGGTTCGCTTTAAATTGGGACTGACGAAGTTATTCCTTTTGGCTGTTTATGCGCCGGTGGCTTCGTCGTCCAGGGCTGAGCTGGAGGAGTTTTGGGAGAATGTAAGAGAAGTTCTAGATTTGGCTAGGGGAAACGAAAGGATTGTTGTATGTGGTGATTTGAATGGATGGGTTGGTACCGCTCGACCAGGGTACGAGTCGGTACTTGGAAAGTTTGGCGATAAAAGGGTTAATGATGCTGGCAAGCTTATACTGGCGGTATGCAAGGAAAAGGGTCTTCTTGTGACAAACACTATGTTTAATCACAAGAAAATCCATATGTATACTAGAGAAAGAAAGAATGAGAGAAGTATGATCGATTTGTTCCTGGTGGATGACCGACTGCGAAAACAGGTTATGGATACGCGAGTGTTCAGGGGTGCTGACCTGGGAACGGATCACTATCTAGTGATTACTAGATTTAGGGGTCTGTTCGCGGGTTGGCGCTACCGGACGACAGTGACAGAACCACAGTCGGTCTGTCGCATCCGAAGCTGGAAGCTTCAGGAAGCGGATACTAGGGACAAATATCATGCGAGGGTAGCCGAAAAGCTTGACACCATCGATGGCAGAAACGAATGTGTAGAAAGAACATGGCAGAACCTTAGGGATGGAATGGTAAGTGCAGCGGAAGAAGTGTGTGGAACAATAAAAAGAGGCAGTAGTAAAAGAAGAGATGCATGGTGGAATGATGAAGTGAAAGAAGCTGTAAAGAAGAAGAAGAAAGCATGGTTAGACTACTTGGCCTCTAGTAATGATAAGGATATGAGAGAGAAGATGAAAGAAAGATATAAGCTGCAGAAAGTTCACACGAAAGCATTGATTGAGGAAGTGCGTGAAAGGTGTAGAATGGAAGCGGATGAAAGGTTGTCGCACAACTTTAAGGAGAACTCCAAACTCTTCTGGAAAGAGGTTGGAAGGACCCGAAGTGGTGCGACGGCCTTAAGAATGAACAAAGTGCTTTCGAGAACTAATGACGTCCTCTCAGAAAAATCGGACGTCATGCAGCGATGGAGCGAATGTTATAGAGAAATGTATGCGTGTGATGATCTTAGTGAGGGATCCGGGGATGACGCCGTGACTGGCACGCCAGACCCGGACCTCGATGACACTGAGGTCATCAGTATGAAAGAGATTGAACGTGCGATTCGAAGTTTGAAATGTGGTAAGGCTGCGGGACTAGACAGAGTTACTGCTGAAATGGTCAAGTATGGTGGGCCTCGCGTCTGGGACAGCTTTCATCTGCTGTGCAATTTGTGCTGGCGGACGGGGGATGTCCCGGATGATTGGCGATCCGCAGTCATTGTGCCTTTATATAAAGGTAAAGGTTCACATTTTGACTGCGGGTGCTATCGGGCGATCAGCTTGACCAGTTTAGCAAGTAAAGTTTACTCGAAGGTTTTGACACGTAGGATGCAAGAGAAATCGGAAAGATTTCTATGGGAGGCACAATGCGGATTTAGACCTGGAAGAGGATGCACGGATCAAATGTTTTCTCTCCGTATGATCACGGAAAAGCTTCTGGCTGTTAACCAGAAGATTTTCTGTGCTTTTGTGGATCTTGAGAAAGCATTTGATAAGGTTGTAAGGAAGAAAATGTGGGAACTGTTGCCGGGGTATGGTGTGGATGGCCGATTGTTAAGGGCTGTGCAGTCTCTTTACTGTGACTGTAAAGCCTGTGTGCGGGTAGGGCATGACCTGTCACCCATGTTTAGCGTCCAAACGGGCGTAAAACAGGGTTGTGTCATGTCTTCCTGGCTGTTCATACTGTATCTCGACAGCTGTTTACAAAAGCTGAAAGATAGCTATTTGGGTGTGAAATTGGGTGACATAAAAGTAAATTGTCTGCTGTATGCTGATGATGCAGTGCTTATTGCACCATCAGAGGCAGAACTGCAGGCATTAGTCACGTGTATGAAAGAGGAATGTGAAATTAAAGGTCTCCGTTTGAATGCTAATAAAACTAAGGTTCTGGTATTTGAAAGGGACGAAGAGAGAACGAAGTGTGAAATATGGGTAAATCAGGAATGTCTAGAACAGGTAAATGAAATTGTATACTTGGGGAGTGCTTTTAGCCGGGATGGAAGATGTGATTTAGATGTGGACAGGCGTGTCGCTGCCGGGAACAAAGTCAATGGTGCCCTGACTGCGTTAGTCAAAAGGCAAGGCGTAGCGAAGAGTGCACGCCTTGCAATACATAACTCAGTGTTGGTACCGACTTTGTTATATGGCAGCGAAACCTGGGTATGCCAGAAGAAGCATAAAAGTAAGTTGAATGCAGTGGAGATGCGATCTCTTCGTAAAATGTGCGGCGTTACTATGGCCGACCGAAAGCGAAACGAAGAGATTCGCAATATGGCAGGTTTGAAAGATGACCTTATCACAAAAATTGATAGGGGCGTGCTTCGGTGGTTTGGGCACGTTGAGCGAATGAGTGAAGACCGAATGGTGAAGAAAATATATAGCGCGAAAGTTAATATTAAAAGGTGTCGAGGTAGACCGAGACTAACTTTCGAAGACCATGTGAGCAAATTGCTCGAAGAGGGTAGGGTCAAGAGTACTCGGATACCTAGACGTGCATGTATGAAGAAGATAATGAATCTGAAAGAAGCGAAAGAGATATGTAAGGATCGTGACACTTGGCGATCTGTTCTCTCTGGCTACCCCGTCAGGGATTGTGCGTGAAGATAAGTAAGTAAGTAAGTAAGTAGTAATAGACCGGACATCAGCAGCAAAATTGTCGTCTGTAACTTATGTCCTATAGGATATAACTCCGTTAGTCTTAGTGACATCGTCATAAAGTCAAGACGCATTCTTTTCATATCTTTAAAAAATATTTTTATAGAAAATATGCCCGGTTGTGCATTAAGATATTTTAAGTCACGATATGGAGCAAAAAATGAACGTGATTTTGGTTTGTTATCGTAAGTATAACGTATATTTACCGAATAATCTTTAAATTTTATTATTTCTAGTAGATTGTTCTAGAAAATTTATTTTTATTGTACTAAGCGCCCTCTGTTATCCTATAGCGTCACTATATATTTAAAGTTAGTGATTGACGACGTTTATCGATTGGGGTTAACGATAAAAATAATATACAGGATGCCGATTTAATAATTTACAATATTTAAGGAGGTAAAACAGTCAAAGATACTGTACCCATATCAACAAAAATGAGTAGATATGCTACTCATTTTTGTTAAGCCAACTATGCTAAGTAGCCTACTTTATGTGGAAGGGTGGGAAATTTTTTTTAGGCATGATGATGAGATTTTCTGTGTTGCTTATGAACATGCTGAGGATACTTGCTGTGTTGATATTTAGCAATACAGCAAGTCTTCTCTTTTACATACCGGGCTTCATTGTCTGGTGGTATTCAAGGACAAAACCATTATAGATCCTGGCTTACAGTGATAGGAGAGTGTGAGCTTGTGACATTAAAAAAAATTGTACTCTTAAAGATATTAGATTCAAGAAGTTGTAGGTTAAGCCCATGAAGCTAATACAAAGGGGAGACGGCATAAACAACTGTGCACTGTGATTCTAAGTAGGTCCTGACGTCATCATAGTGGGCGTGGCTTTAGTTAGTATAATGTCAGCATTCGTCCTGTGCGCTTATGTGTTGACAAAATCGCAAATCGGTGTATTTTCGTAGTATTAATAATAATAATAATAATAATAATAATCATCTTTATTCAGGCAAATTACACCCATATCCAGTAAAATCAATAAATTTAAAATCAGTCTCCTAAATTTTAGCAATAATTAAATCAATTTCAATACAAAATAACAATTTTAAAATAATAAATCCAGTCAATGTAAATAGGCAGTAATGTCAGTATATAAATAAAATAATGAAATAAAATAACATAAAATTAAAATTAATAAATAAATAACAGAATTACACACATTTATCAGTCTGGAGACGAGATCAATAATTAAAACTTTCTCTGAGGCAACTGTGCTGCAATAAATTAAATTAAAATTAATCTACACAATTAAAGCAATACAATACATAAATCAATGTCAACAAGATAACAATTTTAAAATAATACATCCAGTCAATTTCAATAAGCATTAGTGTCAGTATATAGAATAATTTAAGCAAATAAAATAAAATTAATACATAATTAACAAACAACAAAAAAAAAAAATAAGAACACACTTTTATTAGACAGGAGACGAGATTAATCAATACTTTCTCAGAGGCAGCTGGTCTGCGACATGCCTTTCGCAACAATGCCGGATAATATAACAGTCTAACCTTCCTGAGATCATCGCTAAGACAGTGTTGGAGCTGGCCCGCACTCTGCGCACCAGGGACGCGGCCCGCTTGCGCATGGTGGCATTGAAGCAGTCGGTGCGCGCATCCGCAAACATACCAGAGGCGCTACAAAACCGAGGCAACCCCATCACCGCCCTAAACGCATTATTGTATTGGACGCGGAGGACGCTGTAACTCTTCCTACTGTAATTAGCCCATAAGCTGCACGAGTAGAGCGATGTGCAGAACGCTCGGAAGAGTGTAACCTTGACCTCCTTTGAACACCGCGCAAACCTACGGGCGATCATGTTAGCTCTGACCGACAGCGCCCTCCGTTCCCGGTCCATATCAGCGTGATCCCTTAGGTCGAAGGTGAGTAAATGCCCCAGATACTGAAACTGTTTAACCCTTTCCAGGGGTACACCATTCAATTTTATTTGAGGTATATTATCAGGACATTTCGCACCAGCGGCCTCAAAGATCATGTATTGACTCTTTCTGACATTATACAATAATCCGTGACCACATGCATATTCCTCGCATTTCCGTATCAGCTTCCTCAGGCCGCAGACCGATGCACTCAGCAGCACCATGTCGTCTGCGTAACTCAGATTATTGACACAAACACCGTCAATGTGGCAGCCGACATGCTGACTGCTAAGCGCTACGATCAGCCCGTTGATATATAGATTGAATAGGGTTGGTGATGTTAAGCCACCTTGCCTGACTCCACACTCAAGCCGATACGGATCCGACATTACCCCCGCCCACCTGACACTATTGGCCTGGTTTGCGTACCAGTACCGGAACATGCTGATAAGTTCTTGAGGCAAGCCTATGCTTTGCAGCCTGTCCCACAGCAGGTTATATGTCACCAGGTCAAAGGCCTTGGATAGGTCGAGGAAGCACGCGTACACAGGCGTCCTGCGATCAGTGTAGTATTTGACGGTTTGCTTTAGACACAATATGGCGCTTTCAGTGGACAAGCGAGGACGAAATCCAAACTGGTTATCGTGGAGCGTTACATGTTTATTCAACTGTGTGTTGAGCAAACCGTCAAACACCTTTGCAATTACGGTGGCAAGAGAAATGGGCCGATAGTTACACTTGTCAGTCAAGTCACCCGTCTTGTTCTTCACTATGGGTACCACCACGGTTTTCATGAAATCTGCGGGCAGGTAGGAATGGCTCACACACAGAGAGTAGAACAAAGCCAAGACCCTAGCTAGGTGAGGTCCAGCATGTTGCAAGTGCTCAACACTAAGTCCGTCATGTCCCGGGGACTTGCCTCCTGACATATCTCCTATAGCTTTTGTTACGTTTTTTGCCAGGAAACTAGTCCCCACTGTTTGTGTGTCCAGGTCAGTGCTGAGCACTTCCACTACCGGATCCAACAGAGATTTTACAGAAAAATGGCTCTTGAAAAGATTTGCGATGTCCTTGGGATTGTTCATGCCATCGACGCACACAGGAAGGCCAGGTCGTACATTAATTTTACTGGTGGACTTCCAGAAGCCGCGAAAATCTCCTTTGCTATGTTTCACAGCAAGAGCGTCCATCTTTATTTGGTCTTGATGATTTTGGCACCATTTTAATCGGGACTTGAACACTCTTCTGCTATCACACATTTCTTTGTAAAGAAAACCTGACCTGGGTCTACCACACAATACCCAGTCATTGAATTTAGATCTGGCCTCTCTGTGAGCCTCACTGACGTGTCTGTTCCACCCAGCTATGCGCGGGCCACCCCCAGCCCACCTCGCGCCTCCCCGACTCGCCAAAGTCGCCGCGCCTTGGAGAGCGGCAACAATGTCAGAGTAAAGCTTATCCAGAACATGCCTGTGTCCACGGTCACTACAAAATCGGTCAGCACAGTTCGCACACTCAGAAGGAAAGTCTACTAATTTTAGCCTATTATGACACTCTTTAGCGTACACTGTGATTTGCTCCGCACTCTTTATACCCCATACTACGTCTTTGTTAACATTGGTTACGCTCGCAAAGATCTTAGGATTTATAAAATTTAAATTACAACTAATTATAAGTGGGAAATGGTCTGACCAAAGAGTGTCATACTTAATATCTACACCGACGACAGCCTGCCTCGCCGCGAGAGTTGTGACACAGTGATCTAGCCAACTGCTGGTCCCGTGGACGTCACCAATAAAAGTAAAAGTACCAGAGTCCAGCCCTAGCATATCTACATCTATACATGACCATAACTGGTCATTACAAATACTAACAAGTTCACTGTAAAACAACTCACCCGGGTCCGCATTGAAGTCGCCTAAGATAAACACTGCTTCAATTCCATATTCGTCAATAATAGCGCTTACCGCACTCAAACAGTCTGTAAATTCCTGTAAATTGTCGACAGAGTTTGTCGGCAAGTAAACACTCATCACAATTATGGGTCTATCATTTGTTATAATTTTAATTGCACAAATGCGTGAATTTTCACAATTTAATATTGCCACCTGCTTGAATGCGCTATACCGCCATAACAACGCGACGCCGCCATAGGGGCGTCCGCGTAGGATGCCTGCAGATGTATCGACCGCTGATGTCGCCACATAACCAAAACCGCTGTCGATCGTGCCAATAAAGGGTATATCATGATTCAGAATCCAAGTTTCCTGAAGACATATCACGTCACACGTATGGCATAAGTCTCTGACGTCATTAATGGAGCGTTTAATATTCTTACAGTTAAATGTAGCAAATCGATAGGGGCCACTATCCATTATTTGGTTTGCCTATGCCGTCGGCGCCAATAGGGCGCGCACCATTCTTATTCCTGTATTTGAAACTCACAAAACGTCGAAATATAACACCTTCAGGCCATAGAGTTTCATCCATGTATTTTGGCAGATTTACCTCTGATATTGAAAATTTGTAAGCTTTGTGTCCTCTATCATATTTCATATTTATTCTTTCTAGTGACACGGTTTCCTGAGTTTTATTATAAATATGTTTTATTATGTCACTTTCCGTCGCAGAGTTATGCACATTCGTAATAAACATAAGAAGTTTCTTATCTGCTGCCCGGAAAGAGCACTGTAAATCTCTGGCTACACCAGCTTTGCCAACATAACGATACTTTCTTGTTTTTTTGTGATACGTTACTGTCTGCCATCCTTCCTTTTTATTATTGTCTTTTGTCAGAGTTTCACGCACGAAGATCGGCTGCTCTGACTGACTATGTCCTGTTACGCAAACAAAACCTGCCTTATCAGTTGCGGTCAGCTGGTCCACAACCTCAGTAGCAGAGCTCGGTTAAGAAGAAAAGGATGAAGTGTTGTGTTTTATTGTGTAAAAACTACTCAGATAGACGCTTTGATGTTATGGAATGCATCACATTTCATTTGTAAATAATTTTACACCTAATTTATTAAAATAGTTCTAGAAAATCTCTTTGCGTCGGCTTTCAAATATAATTAAATATATTCGACACTAGATGGCGACACTTTGTGTAATGTGAACTAAAAATATAAAGGTCCGTAGAGCTCAGTATTCGTAAAATAATCATACGAAGGTGCTGAAATTAGTTTTACATTCAGACATAAAGAAACATTAATCGCAAAATATTATTTTTATAGTTTATAATCATTTTGAGAACAGGCCGTATTCTCGTCAAGTAAACCTCATAAAAATAACAAAAAGACAGGGCCCTAATTAGAATTCAATTATTTTTCCCAGTAATCCAACTTTTAATATTAAAATGCAGGAAATTGTACTTAGGCTGATTTTTACGAAATATTTAAGTTATATTTAACTGAAATTCTATATGCAAAGAATCACTTAAATACAATTTAATGTTCTTAGATTGGCATTCAAAAAGTGCATTCGGATGCCTAATTTGGAATGAAATATTTATATTTTAATTATTTGTAAATAAAATTATATTAATTATAATAATTTGTCGATTATTTGTTCTCGCTCAGAGATATTAAGTAGTATAACCCACACATAAATAATAGTCCAGCCGTTTCTTCGTGAAAAAATTACACATACACAGTACATACTTAGTGTGGAATAAGCTCAAGAAGACAGAAAGAACACACAAAATTTCGCCTTTATAATATTAGTGAGATAAGTAGGATATTTAGTTCCAAATTAAATATCCTACTTAATATTGAACATAGAATATTTAGTTTCAAAGAGACTTTATTTTATGGATAAAATAAATATTTCTTGACGGTTGACTTTCACGAAATGATAAACATATTTAAATTGTATTTAAGCGATTCTTTGCATATAGAATGTCACTTAAATATAACTTAAACATTTCGTAAAAATCAGCCAAGTACAATTTCCTTCATTTTAATATTGAATGTTGGGTTACCGGGTAAAATAATTGAATTCTAATTGCGGCCCTGTCTTTTTGTTATTTTTTATGAGGTTTACTTGACGATAGATGGCGGCCTGTTCCCAAAATTATTATGAAAACTATAAAAATATTATTTTGGCGATTAAAATTTCTTTATCTGAATGTATTTGCTTCATGAGATAGAGGCTCCGATGCTATGGATATCATCACATTTCATTTGTAAGTAATTTTACAACTAATTATTAAAATAGTTCTAGAAAAATCTCTTTACGTCCGCTTCCAAATATAATTAAATATTGCATTTGGAAGTTGTCCTGTGAACTAAAAATATAAATAGTAATGATAAAAAAAAACAATAATAAAAATAAAAAAAAACTTAAAAATATAAATAGTAATGACAAAATAATCATACGAAGGTGCTGAAATTTGTTTTGCAAATAAAGAAATTTTAATCGCCAAAATATTATTTTTATACTTTATAACACTTTGTGGACATGCCGCCATCTACCGTCAAGGTAGCTAAGCTACATTGCAACATCCATATGGAAAGATTCGAGTAGTTTCACTATTTATCAGTAGATGTAGATAGTGTAGTGGGCGGGGCTTTGCATCCCCTCACCCCGCAAATTGTCACGCGTTGTTACATAGTGAAATTTAATTACAACATCTCTTTGTATTTGCTTCATGGTTAAGCCTGAGTTAGAAAATAAGGTAAAAACTTAAAATAACAATTTTTATTGATGTGGGTTGTGTCTTTTAAGTAGTGCAGCTGATGAAATTGACAAAATAATATAAAAAGAAAAGAAGACGTCTCCATACATTCTTGGGCCCAAGTGTTAATAAGATGAAAGTACCATTTGAAAGCGTATATATAAACAATTAATAGCTGAAAAGATTTGTCAATCTAGATGCTGAGTTGTGGAGTAAGTAAAATAGAGATTATATATTACCTAAACTGTAACAGGTGATTATTCACTGTTATTACATTGTAACAGGTTATTTTTCACTATAATTACTTAAAGATATAAAAGCAGGATTAGTATAAAATCACCAAAAAATCTGTGGTTACTAATGAAATGAAATAGTGAAACGATTAACGAAAGATAAAAACACGACTCTTCGTGACGGGTGTTGACTCATCAGTGAGTATCCAACCGTACACCGTACCGGGTATGATGTACCGCAAAGCCTCTCTAGTACATTAGTACATAATATCGCAATGGTGCACAGTGAAAATTTAATAAATAAATTAAAATGATACAAGTTGTTATGAGTATTAGTTATGAGTTCGATTTACAACAATTTAAACATTTTTATAAATAAATACCGTTGAAAGTACTTGAATAATTTCATTTCTTATAATAATACTAGCCTGTATTAGCCTACTGTAGCGCAAAGTAGTCTTCACATACAGGGAAGTAACGAGCATTAATCACAACACTTGCTTAGTGCATGTTCGTGATTTCAGATTATAATGTTCAGTATTCCTGACTAAGCTTTCTTTCACCGAGTCAGTAATGTCTCAAGTTGTTGAGCATAAATCTCTTTGAAGAATATTGGTACATAACATACCAGCGTATTTATAATATGAATGTATAAATATAAATTTATAAAATGATTTATCGTGAAACGGCTTTTAAGTTCAGTGTTTTCCTAAATATTTTAGGTTTAGTATATTTTTGTAAAAGAAACGAATTTAAAAACGTAGAGGCGCTCCCTTATTGAATTTGGCGTTTCTTGATGTGTCTTCAACGCCGATCGGCCAATCATATGCTATTATTATACCTTCTAATGGACCGAGTGACGTCATCCAAGATGCCACCAAGGCGGCAACTAAAGTGACTGCTGTTTGAATTGATTCTTAGTAATTGGAAATTAATATTTTATTTCAAAGTGATTTTTTTCGTGTGATGGAAGTCATGATAAATAGATTTATACAATGAAACAATAATTTTATTCCCTATTATTATATTTTAAAGCATTTCAAACTTAGTAACCTTCAACAACATTATCGATACTTTGGTATCGAAAGGGTAACATTCCTAAAACGATCTTATATTTTAAGCGTCACCTGCTGGGGAATAGCTAAAATGTTGTCTTAATAAATGATAGCGTAGTTTTGCTATTTTTAGCTAGAGGGCGTCACACACGCACCAGCTTAAAGTTTTTGTTCGCTCTGTAGTATATATATATATATATTTTAAATCTCTTTGGTTACAGGAATGCAATCATATCTATGATTGCAATGTTCAAATAATAACATTGCTGCCAATTGTTATCGTCTGTGCTTTAAAGTTAACATTTTGTATTTATTTAAAATTATATTATAGGAACAATATTTATAATGATTTCTCATATTTACGCGAACACTACACATTTAAATAAAACTAATTTTACGGATTTTATCGCGTATATTAACTTATTTTATATTCCCGACGTTTCAAGCACTTTACAGCACCCATGGTCACGAGGGGGGGGGGGGGGGACTGAGGTGTATAACGTCCCCATGTCATAGTTAACCACGGCTACCTCCAGATAAAAAATTATTAATTTTTGTTCCGATCTACGCAGTATGAACTTACAGTATCATGAAGTCTTGCAGTTGTATGCTTGGGTTGGGAATTAATTTTATTAGTTATGGGATCCCAAGCAGATGGTAGCACCCAGCAATCTTCTCTATTGAAATTAGGATGTTTTTTTGATTTCAATAGTTTCGCGAATCATCCTTGGAAGGAATCGGTGTTCTTTAGCGAAGATTTGTGGTCTATCAAATCTAATGTAGTGACGAGGGCGATCCTGTACGTGTTCACAGACTGCAGACTTCACGGAGCGTCGATTTTTCACATCAGCTATGTGTTCTTTAACGCGGGTTTTTATGGATCTTTTAGTTTGTCCTATATAAGAGAGACCACATTCACAATCAAGCTTGTACACTCCTGCATCTTGCAGAGGAATATTACACTTGACTGATGGTAAAAAGTGACTAATCTTCTTCGGCGGCTTGAAGTATGTTTTAATGGAAGCACGCTTCAAGATGTAGCCAATCTTGTCAGTGACACCGCTGACATATGGCAGTACAGCAGGCACTCGCTCGACTGTGGCCGGCTTCACTCGTTCACGGTGACGTAGGCGCGGGACCCGAAGCTTATTGTCGTGCAAAACTTGCTTGACGTGTTGGAGCTCGGCGGCCAGGTGTTTACTGTCACAGATCCCTCGTGCTCTCTGAAAAAAGATTTACTCACGGTAGCTAACTGTGAAGGATGGTGGTGAGAATCACCATTTAAATATCTATCGGTATGGGTCTTTTTTCTATACACAGCGTGGCTCAAGGTGTTATCAGGATTCCGAATTACTAACACATCTAGAAAAGCTATAATTGTTTGCCTCTACATATAACTCCATAGTGAACTGAATTTTAGAATTTAAAATGCAGTTACTTTATCTGAAGGTAGAATTGTGAAAGTGTCGTCTACGTACCGCTTGTAGAATCTTGGATTTACAGGAGAAGTAAGCAAGGCTTTCTCTTCAAAGCCCTTCATGAATATATTAGCGATAATGGGAGATACAGGTGAGCCCATTGCCACTCCATCTACTTGCTTGTAGAACTCCTCCTTCCACAATAGGTAGCCAGATGTAAGGCAGTGTCTGAGTAATACTGCATATTCTACGGGCATGTTGTTTTCCTCTAGCCTTCTAGTAACAATCGCGATCCATTCTTCAACAGATAAGCATGTGAACAGAGACTGCACATCAAAACTGACCATAGTTTCATTGTCTGCCAGATGTAGGTCTTTAATCTCGCTGACAAAATGGTAGGAATCCTTTGTGTGTGCTCTTGTATGTCCCTTAAGCGGGGAGAGTATATTCGCTAAATGTTGAGCCAATCTGTAAGTCGGTGAATCGATTTGGCTCACTATGGGACGTAGTGGAGCATTGGGCTTGTGTATTTTTGGTAACCCATACAACTTCGGTGGTTTGGCACACGTAGCTATTATCGATTTTACGTCTAGATTTAATCTTTCGGAGTGTTTCTTTATGAGATCACTAGTTGTTTTAAGTGTGTTATTTGTTGGGTCATTTTTACCCTTTTTATAAGTACTTATATCCGACAAAAGTTCTTGTATTTTAGAATTATAATCCGACGTATCCATGACCACCGTGTTTCCCTTATCTGTCCTTACATATTCCAACTGAGAGCGTATCAGTGCCTTATACAAAAAGATATATGTTGCTGAGTTGGTGAAATCCTTACAGGCTCTCATTGCAAACCTAAACATTTTAAAAGCTTTAGTACATATTTATTCAACATGTGTATCGAGTGTTAATTTACTATCAATGATAACGACGCCGAGGTCACAAATAGATTGTATTTTTCCAAGAGTAGAGTTGCACAAAGAATATGTTTGTCGATTAAAATTAATTTTAATCGAAAATCATATTATTATAAATATATTTAACGGCTCCGTGGCGCAGTGGCTTAGCAATCAGTTGTTGCGCTGGGGGCCGCGGGTTCGAATCCCGCACGGAACAAGTATTTGTATGACTTACAAATAATTGTTCCGGGTCTGGATGTTTGTCCTTGTGCAATTTATGTTTGTTAACTGCCTCCACGACACAGGAGAAAATCCTAGTGTGGGAGTAACGTTTTAAAAAAAAATTCTTAGTGACAGTTAACATTTTGCACTTATTAATACTAAGACTTAATTAATTTTTTAAACAATAAGCAGAAAAGCGGACCAAGTCATTCTGAAGTCTGAGGTAATTCTCATTGTCACAAAAGGTACGATAAATTTTAAGGTCGTCAGCGTGTAGTAAAAAATTACTGTGCTGATAAAAGGAGTTAATATCATTAATTAAAAGTATAAATAATAGTGATTCCAATATAGAACCTTGTGGTAGCCCAGAGGTGACAGGTACATACTCTGATTCGTAACCATTAATAACAAACCTTTGCGTACCGTTAGTTACGTATGATTTAAACCATCGCCAAAGATTGCCACGTATACCGTTAAAAGCAATTTTATCAAGTAGAATTTTGTGATCAACTCTGTCGAACGCCTTACGAAAGTTTGTGTAAATAAAGTCAGTAAAGTATATATATACATATATAGTTGAAAATTAATCATCCGAAGAGTTTCGACACAGCTGAAAAAATAGAAATATATTTGTACGTGGTAGAGCCATGCTGCAGCTATATTAGTAGTATAGTTGTAGCACGAATGGACCGGTGAAGAACCGCGCTCTCACAGATTACCAGCGTTAAATGACAGCTTACCACTGCTGTGTTTCCTGTGGTGAGTGTAGAGAACCGAAGACCTATTTTACTGAAAAAGAGGCATTCCATCTGAGTCCTCACGGGTGACGACGCATCTGCATTTTGATTATTTATTGAGGATAAATGTAGATGTCTATGGGTCACAGCAACCACTTACCATCAGGTGGACTGTGTGCTCGTTTGTCACCTTATCCGATAAAAAAAAATAGGACTGTAGTTCTCAACATTTCGTTTCGAACCACTCTTATATACAGGCACAATTCTAGCGGCTTTTCATACGTTAGGACATACTCCTTCACTTAAACACTTATTGAAAAGGAAACACAGTGGTTTAACAATATTAACTGCTGTATTTTTCAGAAATACTGGTGATATATTTTCGGGCCCCACACCCTTGGTTGTATTTAATGCTTGTAGCTCTTTAATAATACTGCTAATATAGCTGCAGCATGGCTCTACCACGCATAAATATACAACATATGACCATATCATGAAATAGCAACGTTGTGTTTAGTTATTAATATCTTCAAACGATTTCTATTCATTGATTTGGTCAAGCTATATCATGACATGGTCAACAAACAGTGTTAAATATCATGAAATGACCACACCATTTCACGAAATGATAGACTACTTTATGATATATGATCAATTCTACGATCTGGCCACGACATATATATAAATCTCTTTAATAAAACTATATGATAATGAAAATATTGCAATAATTGCAGACAGACCAGTTTAAATCAGTTTACATATAGATTAGCAATTGAAATAAAAACCTTATCAATTTTCATATTTCTGATAGAGGTCACTATTATCTATTGAAATAATTTATTACACTTTTAAAATAAAATAACGATAATACTAAAAAAACTAAACGTTCGAATTTCTAATTATTTAAACATATAAATGTAAGTTATTTATATTATTTAATTTATTAGTAACTGAAGGCCAAAGACATTTAAGTAGTAGTTAGTATACCTATATATTTAAATCTCTTTGCTGAAGGCAAAATATACTACTATTTCCATTTGATGATAGACGGTGCTGTTTTGATAACTAAATCGGTGTAGTTTCAAATTATTTTACCAAGGTTATAACTATGTTTTAAACTTTATTTATAATTATGGTATTTATTTGAAAAACACCCATCATCCCGCCTATAACTAACATATAATAGAAAATTAACATTTAAAAGAAGGAAAATATTTAACCTTCTTTTTTGTACTTCTGTAATCGGATAAAAAGTAGCCTTTAAGTTGCCCCGGGTTACTAACTACCTACATACAAAATCTCATGTAAATCTTTTTTGATTGTTATGTGGTATGTAGGGATATTTTTATCTATATTTTTCTACTAAGTTGAAAGAAAAAAAATAGTAATTAAAACAAGAGAAAGTAAAATAAAAGAAATGGTATTTAATCAATAACTATATTATATTTTTACAGCATACCAGCTTAAGGGACTCAACTTAAAATGTCAATGAAATCCGTAACCACGTAATGTTACACGCGATAGAAAACTGTCCTATTAGAAGCATGTTGAATATCCTGTAAAAAACCAATAAGTCCATTGAACAATTGACAAAACATTGATCATGATTTAGTGCATAATTAAGAAGTATTAAACATATAAGAATCTTATATTGTTCATATGTACGTAGCATCCTTTCGATATCAGTTCCGAAGTATGGAACCCGCATTATGTAGTTCATAATTCGTATAAAAACGCTCGAAACTTTAAAATTAACGATGTAGAATTTTATACTAAAATCGCAAGGTCACAAGTGGATTTGGCTTATCTTTTATCATTTGTAGGTTTGAGAGCGAGACAATCGTGAACAATCTTATCTAATCGTACCCGGTAGTTGCACTAAATATAGGCAAAACTCTTTTTATTAGAATTGCCAATTCTGTAAATAAGCGTTTGAGACTTAGACCATTATAAAAAGTTAAAAATAATCACTGATCAGTGGTTGAAAGCGGAGTCTTAACAGCTATGTATCTACCTATTTTATTTTCAATATATTTTTAAATAAAGGTAAAAATGTTTTTACGTGTGCTCTTTATTTCTTATGTTATTGATATTTTTTTATGGGCGCAAGCACAGGTGCACTCTATATTCGCATACTTTCATAGTCCTATTCGGCAGCAATATATTAAGACTACAGTGAGATTCAGCGCAGAAACAAGTGCTTTACGTAATACGATGAACGGGGGGGGGGGGGGGGGGTGTTTATAGCAAAAATATGTTATTTATTAAAGATCTATGTCCAGTTAGAATGCTTGTTCAGCAGTTCGAATTCGGGATTTGTTCAATCGAAATAGTATTTTGAATATATATATATATTATATACGTTCATTAATACTTACTTCTCTAGTTTGCCTGCATTCCATATAGTTATATGTATGTTTATTTGTATGCATATTTGGTGCTGCATCGCACCTGACATCTTACAAACACAAACTGATGTAAAATTATTGGTTTTGGTACCACTGTCCTACGTGCTGAGCCACCGCGGACTAGATCATCTGTAGGTACCATCATTGTCTGTGGATTCACTTTGGTCTTTTGTAGGGCGTATATAAAGTTGTAGCCTAACGTTATTTAGGGGGTATCAGAATCAGAAAATCAGAATAAAACAGGCTCAATAGAAGGAAACTGTTTTTTCTTAAACGAATGACACAATACAATATAATGGGACTAAGTCGAATTATAAATAAACCGGATCACACATAGTTATTATAATCTAATAGTAAGAATATTAAAAAAAGGAATTCTTCAAGCAATTAATGGTTTGTTAGATTTTCGCAACTTCTCCAAGCGTTCGTAAAGTGATCTCTTGCCAGGGTTGAATCCTCCGTTGAGATAGTCGTCGTCACCACCTGAAAGAACAATAATAATTGGGTCTATCAAGGGTGTGTTATTGGGTTCACTATTGTGAGGGTCATGCTTATGAAGAAGACTAGAATTAAGTCGCTTTGTAAATATAACAAAAGTTATTGAAATGTCTGTCTGTAATACTGCAATAACCGACTTCTATTTAGCTTAGGGAGTTATTTAATTTGCATCCTACTAAGACATAAATATTTAAAAAAATTATCTGTCTGACTGTGCTGATCTTCGCAATGATTGAAACGATTATGATGAAACTTTACAAACAGATAGAAAACAATGCCAGTAGGGATCCAGGTTATATTTTATCTTCAAAAATTGGAGATTTTTTTTGGAAAAACGTATAATTTATAAAAACTAATGTTTTTTTTTTATAGAATGCGGGTGACAAACGATCACACAGTACACCTGATAGTAAGTGGATGCTGTGGCCCATAGACACCTACATTTATTTTCGATTAAAAATCAAAATGCAGATGCGCTGTCACCCCTGAGGACTAAGATTGAATGCCTCTTTTCCAGTAAAAGGGGTCTCCGGTTCTCTACACTCACCATACGAAGCAAAGCAGCATAAAGCTGCTATTTTACTCTGGTATTCTGTGAGCGCGTGGTCCCACTCCGTTCGAGCCGACCCATTCGTGCTACAACCATAATATAGCTGCAGCATGGCTCTACCACGTTAAAAGGTCTTTGATTATTTTAAGTAAAAATAATAATCAGGTGAATTCGGGGCGTGTCACTAGTTCATAATAATTCTTATTTAACAGTGGTACAGCCACGCGGCGGCTTTTGCTGTCGCACTGATGGGCCGGCTCGAACCGGGGTGGTACCACGACCTCACAGAATACCAGCATGAAGTAGAGGTTTACCTCTGCGTTTCGCTTGGTGAGTGCAGGTTGCCGGAGGCCCTTTTTACTGGAAATGAGGCATTCCATCTTAGTACTTACGGGTGACAACGCATCTGCATTTTCATTTGAGAATAGATGTAGATGACTATGGGCCGCAGCAACCACTTACCTTACGAACTCGGACGTGCCTACGGATCACAAACTTGGTCGATACTGATGTCGTGATTCTTAGCTTCGCTTCGTATGCTAGCTACAGCAAGTATGTGTTGCGCGCGTTTGTGGCCCTGTATGCGGAATCTATTAGGAGGTAATCTATGGTCGCAGTAGACACTTGCCGGGTGGACTGTGTGCTCGTTTGTCACCCTTATCCTATAAAAAAAATCTTATATAATAATGTTTGTTTCATTTCCTTGCCAGATATTATGACATAGAAATATCGTTAAACTTATTAAAAAAAAAGCCTACCAGAACCACCTAGTTGCCCGTTTATGCATCCTTCATCCCACATATTAAGACAACGCTTGCCTGGATTAAATCCTCCGTTCAGATAATCGTCATCACCACCTGCAAATGAAATGCAATATAATAAACATTATCGTTAGGCTTTTTCAAATTTTAAATAAGCATGCGGCTTATCTATACGTGGTACAGCCATGATGCAGCTATATTAGTAGTTTAGTTGTAGCACGAATGGCTCGGCTCGACGGAGGAAGGACCACGCTCACACAGAATACCAGCATAAAATAGCAGCTTAACACTGCTGTGTTTTGTATGGTGAGTGTAGAGAACCGGAGACCCTTTTTACTGGAAAAGAGGCAATCCATCTGAGACCTCACGGGTGACAATGCATCTGCATTTTGATTCGCAAATGAAGATAGATGTAGATGTCTATGGGCCACAGCAACCATTTACTATCAGGTGGACTGTGTGCTCGTTTGTCACCCTATCCTATAAAAAAGCTAATAGTGATACTGCTGCTCATGAACATCTGCTATATCAAAGGAATCGTAGACGCATTGCCAGTTTTCAAAAACGAATTATTTTTCATTTAATTTTCAAGTCATGTTCGATCTGGAAAAACCACAGGTGATAGCAGATTCCACCATTTAACAATGTTGTTGTGCAAAGAAGTATACTTCTTGAAAATTGCTCAGCAGTGGATCGCTAACATTACAGATGGTAGGGATGGTATTGTGAATTTTGTCGTAAGGTGTGAGGTAAAACTTGGTCGCTATCCGATCGATCAGAGATTGCTGGTGTACTATGAAATTTGAGGCGAGTGCTGCGAACTATCACGGTTATTTTTTAAATTAAAAACTTTACATACAAATTAAAGTGTGATAAAAATAGTAATTGCTAAATAATATATCTATATAATCTTTAAAAATAATCACCAGAACCCGGCAGTTGGCCGTTGATGCAGCCTTCATCCCACATGTTAACACATCTTGATGAACCTAAAATATTTAAAGTTATTTAATAAATGATCTAGTTACTATTTTTCAGTTACTTACATTATATTTATTTACTTACTTAAAACGCGTGGTCTACTAAACCATGCTTTGCAATTTACGAGGGAAAGTATAGCGAAAAATACGAGAAATGACTTCATTTTTTCGTAGTTAGGTAGATGTAATGTATTAGGAATAGAGACAAATTTTTGTATGAAAAGTCTCCGTCCACCATCATCCTTTTATAATAAAAACGGAAGGCCCTAAATTCATATTAAACTATGACAGAATTATTTGCTAGGCACTCAAGATATGCCTTATTAATTTGAATGGGATAATATTGCTGATAAATATAATCCATAGGACAATAAAGGTTGGATAATTCTGAGTGGACGTGAATTTGATTTATATGAATGGCATATCTCTGCTATCTACTTTGGATAAAACGTTAAGTTTGAGACGGATTAAAAAAAAAAAACCGTATGACACTCAGTCAGGCGAGATTTTTCTAGTTCTATAATAAGATATGTCAGGATTATAAGAAGTTATAAAAAGAATTACAATTCTACAGCGGGGAATATTATCCTCACAAACAACTTACACAGTACATAAACGCAATTTAATCAGTTAATTCAATTTAAGCAATCCCGACAGCCTTTAAGTTTTTTGTAAATTAAATAAATATCTAATATTATAATATTGTGCATTACAATCCTATTGATAATTACAAACCTTTAATGTATAAACGAAATAATAACAGAATTTTTCTCTGGTATTTAAAAAAATCGACAAACTCGCTTATTAGTACTCCAAGGTTATCGGCTCGGGTTATTCGTTACTTACAATGTTGCAAAGATTGTCAATCGAGATTGAGATATTGTCGATCACATATAGGTTTTTATCAGCTTATACTTAGAAAACTTTTTTCCTTAGCAACTGTTACAGATATTGTGATTAATATTCGCTGTCATATTCATAAATTTGGATATAATATAATATAATTTTAAATATATATATATATATATATACTAGCTGAACAGGCAGATGTTGTTCTGCTCTTTCCAACGACCATTTGCTTTCCTAAAAACACTCCTGAGATTAGCAATAAAAAAGTTAAGGGTCACTTATCGGGATAAAAAGTATCCTTTCTCTCAAGTTGGACCAAATGGCTCACAGTGTGCAAAATTTCATTGAAATCTAATTAAGTAATTTTTATATATAAAGATATATATTCTAATCACGCAGCCCTATTGGAAGACAAGCCGGAGGAACTACTGGCGAGCAAGCCTAAGGAAGTAGGCTTAAGGCAAGACAGCCCGGGCAAGAACCCTAGGGTTGTTATGGATGGCCGACGAAGACGCTTTAACGTGTGTGTAATATATATATATATACGGGTAGATGAGCGATCGCAGTACCAGACATCTGGAAACCTTACACCTGGTATATAATTACGAAGTTTTATTCTTCAGATATGTACAGATGCTTGTTCATAAGCTTGACGTGTCCCACCTGTTTTTTTCCCAGAAGAAGATCCAGAACGAATGCAGATATAAAATTAGTTAATTTATTATTTTTTTAATTTTTAATGAGTTCCTCACATGGTGATGGTTAAATTTCCCAATAAAACTCAAACAATATTGCAATTAATAATTGGACTTTTAGTACTTAATTGGAGTAAACTGTGGTAGATATAGCAAAAAAGAAAAACTTCAGCCTAAAATATACATCTCACTGGCACAGGCCTAGTCTCATTTCTGAAAGGGTTATTAAGGCAATAAAGTGGGCGCAGTAAATAAACCTGCGGAGCTTGGTGGACTTCCCATGTATTCGAAAAATTTCTTTTGTGTTTCAGATATGCAGGTTTCCTCACGATGCTTTCTTTCACCGCCGAGTACGTTCAATCAGTACTTAAAATTGCAATTAAACATTTCATCCGTTATCGAACCCGGGCTGCTTGCGTACCCTGAAATTTACGCCGTACGCTTAGCCCCTATCTACCGCAGCTTTGTCTATGAGTTATTTAATTAAGGACCTTTTATGTAACCATAATAATGATAAGTTTGAATACAAAATAGTAGCTTTTTAATCTTTGCCACGGAACCCTAACGTCAATAATAATCGACTCCAATTGATTTGATTTCATTTAATACCCACCTATCTATAGTTGATATTTAATATCAGCCGGAAAAAACGTTTTGTGTGTACGGATTTTTATTAACTGATTAGTTATTTTACTCTGATAATGATCTAAGAATAATCGGGTGCTTAATTATAAAATGGCCGATTTAATTAGTATATATTTTTTTTTGTTCTAATATTCTTTCTCTTCATCAGCTCCTAAAAGTCCACAGAACACATTAACACTTCTTTCCAAAATTGTTGTGTTGTCATATTGAGTGGTATTATCGACCAAATACGTCATTGTGGCGATGGGTCGGAAACAGACAAAGATAAAATAGAATAGAATAGAATAATTTTTATTCAATATACATTACATGTGTAATTCTTATTGAAAGTCATTTTTTACTTTACCTCTGGCTCGAAAAAACCCTCTGTCTTGGGAAGAACCAGCAAGAAACCCAGCGGGACTTTTTTTAAAAATAAATTTTACAATATAAATGATTACGAACTATTTACAAAATTTATTTTAGAAACTGCTTGGAAGCGACCACCTCATTCCCAGGGGTTATTATCAACCATGTATTCATTTATACTATAATAACCCTTTTTATACAGTTTCAGCTTAATAAAACATTTAAACTTGGTAATAGAGAGAACTTGTACACTTTCCGGGACCTTGTTGTAATAGCGTATACATTGCCCCAAGAATGAATTACTGACTCTGTGGAGTCGAGAAACTGGCATCACTAGCTTGTGTTTGTTCCTAGTGTTTACAGAATTTATATCACTTTTTTTACTAAAACTATCTTTGTTTTTGTGAACATACATTAAATTTTCGTAAATATACTGAAAGGCCAAAGTTAATATATTTATTTCTTTAAATTTATCTCTAAGAGACTCTCTCGGTTTTAGATTGTAAATAGCTCTAATGGCTCTCTTCTGTAAAACAAAAATAGTTTCTGAATCAGCCGCATTTCCTCATAGCAAAATCCCATAAGACATTATGCTATGGAAATAACTGAAATAAACTAATCTAGCTGTCTCAACACTAGTGAGACCTCTAATCTTTTTTACAGCATAGGCTGCAGAACTTAGTCTGCTTGCTAATTTGGATATATGGTGGCCCCACTGAAGCTTTGCGTCAAAAGTGATGCCTAGAAAAACAGTAGATACAACAGGGCTCAATTCCTCCCCATTTATAAACACATTGGTATTCAGATTTTTAACATTCGTTGTTGTAAATTTAACACAATTAGTTGTATTTCCGTTCAAATGCAGATTATTAACGTTAAACCAATGCACTAATTTTGATATAGCATTATTCACTTCGTCACGTTTAAATGATTGAAGTTTAAGTTTATAAAATCAAGGAAGTATCATCAGCAAATAATACTATATCATGACTATCCCTACAAGGCGAGGTAAGTCATTAATATACACCAGAAACAGGAATGGGCCGAGAATCAAGCCCTGAGGGACACCCATTAGTACAGGTGACCCGGAAGAACTTTTACCATTGATAATAACCTTCTGCTTTCTATTACTTAAATATGAAATAATAAATTTAAGCGCTGTGTTCTTGACAACAAAGTACTGTAGCTTTCTGATTAATGTCTCATGGTGAACACAGTCGAAGGCCTTGGAAAGGTCACAAAATATACCCAAAGTATCCTCTGAATTCTCCCATGCACAAAAAATATGTTTAATAAGCTCAACTCCAGCGTCAGTTGTCGAGCGATCCCTTGTAAAACCGAATTGATTTTTATGTAGGAATTTATTAATATTAAAGAAACTTAACATCTGATCTAATATAATTTTTTCAAAAATTTTACTAAATGTTGGTAGTACAGAAATTGGTCTAAAATTGGCGGGGTCTAATGTATTACCAGATTTAAATATAGGTATGACTTTACTATGTTTCATTAAATCAGGAAACACACCAGATTCGACGCTTATATTAAATATAGTGGCTAGATAAGGTGCTAATATATCTAAAATAACATTAACGGAAATCCCCCATAAGTCTGCCGTTTTCTTAACATCAATAGTTTTAAAATATTTAACGATATCTTTCGGCAGTACTCTATGGAATTTAAAAATATTTGAACAAGCCTTTACATTTTGTTTAAGCAATGATTCGGCAATAGTTGGAGAAGAATTTAATGATTTTGTTGTCAAAAAAAGAACATCAGTAAAATGTTTTTCAAAAGCCATAGAAACTTCTTGATCAGATCGCGTTAAATTTTTGTTAATATTCAATTGAAAATCCGAGTTTGACCTTGTCCGTTTCACTGTTTATTATTCTCCAGGTCATTTTAATTTTGTTAGATGCAGTTTTAATTTTGTTGCTTAAATGTAAAGCCTTAGCAGTGGAGCACATTTTTTAAATATTTTAGAATATATTTTTACATAATCTCTAAATATAACACTACTATTATATGATCTTTCATCATAAAGCTCGTATAACCTTCGCCTACTTTTATAAATTCCTACTGTCGCCCATTCATTAAATGATTTGCGACTATTAAAAGAGAAAGTTTTAGATGTAAATATTCTACTAAATTCAGAACTTATATTTTTAAATAATGTAGCATACAAATAATTAGCACTACTTTTAAACGAAAGTGATGGAAGTCTTTTTATTATATTACTTCTAAACCTCTCCAAGCGATGTACATTTATTGGAATAAACACAACTTTCTTATTTTTCTGTTTTTTGTGTATGTAAGGTAGTGATACCAACTGTCCACAGTGATCTGAACTTAAATTTTGAATAATTGATTTATGCAAGGGCTTAACATCTGTAAAAATGTTATCTATACAGGTCGCACTAGGCCCAGCAATACGTGTTGGTTCTAAGAATAAATTAACAAGATTATACGATTTAAACAATGAGCTAAACTTAGTACTAATGGAAGAAGTTACAAGGAGATTGATGTTAAAGTCTCATATTACAACAGACTTGTTCTGTTTACTAAGTTTGAGTAAAACTTCTTCCACAATCCTTTCAAAATAGTCATAAGTAGCACATAGGGGTCTG